GAATGTATTGGGCAAGAGAGAGAATATGACTTGTCCAAGGTCACTCAGTAGTTTCTATGACCAAGTAGAAATGCTCAAAAACTGTGGCCAATACTACACTATCCAAGTAGCATCGCCCAACCCAGCCCAACCCTCATTTACCAGGCAATCTGACTGATGTTCTAACTCTTCCAGGAAGAGATCTTTGGTGTGACAACCAGAATCAGGATCCCTGTCACAATTCCTCCTTATGCCAGGGAAAGGTGGTAACATTAGTTAGCTACATTGTAATTAACAGGAGAACATACCCCCATTGTTTACAGCAGCTTCTGCCTGGTACATGAAGATAGGGGAACTTTCAAGGTCACCATGTGTTCCCTAAACTAGTGAATAGGCAAGGAAGAGACCAGTCACAAATGTATGACTCGATGTTACACATTGATGACTGCCTTAGTCAATTCCACCCAGTATGTTTGTCAGCTGAAATGTCCAACACGTTTCAATTTGTGGGTGCTCCTAATGCCCTCTTCAGGCCTTCTTCACATAGGAACATCTGCACTGAGCTCTTAGGTTGGTTTGTAAGAAACAATTTTCACTGTGCGGATAATTAGATTGGCATGACAGGACCACGTTTCAGGTCAGTAAAGTGATTACATTAACCACGGATGGTGGCCTCAAAACTGGTTCCAGAATCTGGAGTATTTTTCCCATTTCCCATCAAGAACCTTGTCACATTGAGATATAATCCATTTATATCAGTATGCATCCCATATTTTTTAGGACTGAATCCATACTGTATTGAAATGGGATGCATACTCTCCTCATCACACCTGATTTTTACTATTCTTATGATTTGAAAATACTGTGCTTTGACTCATCACACCATGGGAAGCTGGATCCTCCCAATCCATTCAAAACACCCCTTGCATTACTCTATGACCTTTTTAAAAGTATTGTTGCTGATGAGATGTATACAGATTTTCCTATCACACACAAAAACAGTGCTTTAGCAATGGAAGAATCCGTAGTACTTCAAAAACATGATTAGAACTCTGTCGGCAAATAATCCATTTCTGTGATGCTTTACAGATGGATTCCGATGGAATAATGATAAGATGAGACAAATGTCATGTAATGGGACCCATTTGAAATCATTCTCATTCTCAGAAACAGAGTATTTCCTAAACTGATAAGGTCCCTAGATGCGCACCAGTGCTCCAGAAGCAGAAGAAGAAGAAGAAAGGAGGGGAAGTGATAGGACAATTAGCCCCCTGCTGCCCAGCCGTGCCCTTGGAGTGTTTTTTAAATAGTTCCCCCACCCACCTCATTCCAAATGTTTAATGTGCTTCACATTCTGTATAGCCAATTTTACTGTGCAATGTGATTTAGATTTAGGGCTCACTAAAGTGCATTAAGGGGTCTAATGTGAACTTTCTCCCAACTTGACTTGAAGTGGTTTAAACCCCTTAATTTGCACTGCAGCAACTTTGTCAGCAGGCATTTTCTAGCAACAATGGCTTGGAGTTGACTTGAAGTTACATTAAATGTTCTGTGTAGATGTGCCCTTAGAATCATATTATGGCATCCCTTCTCCCAATACTGAGTCAGGAATTAAAACAAACAAACAAACCAAGAGCCCGTAACTCCAGAACCACTCACTGGGAAAATGAAACCACATATTTTGTACAGTATTGGGGTGGGAGTTAATTCAGTCCTATGAGAGTTAAGAAAAAGCCATTTTTACCCTGACCTCTGAATAGAACAAATGCAGACAACAAACATCCTACAAGCATGCCAGATTATTCTCTGAATTTGTATTTAATTTGTAATTTGCTCTTGCTGCTGGTGTGATTTTTTTCCTTTCTCTGCTTACTATCAACAGAAAACAATAACTTTGTTAACAGCTATTTCTACTTTCAAATTTAATTCTCAACTCATTTTTAATTCTCCATCCAACCACTGAAGCTCCAATTGAGCAAGCTCTGCTTTTCCTTGAAGGGTGAATCTCCTTCTGCCATGTTGTACCTGGCTGCCACTTAATGAATTCTTATCTTGTTTGGGATTACACTGAGTTTTTGGACAAATGCACACCATTCCTTTTGACTCCGCTGTGTATATCTAAAGTCAGAATGTGGCCTTTAACATTTTAATGATTGGAGTTCTAAAACGTTCATTCAGGAGAAATGGAAGAGATTAGCCTCTGACCTAATCACTGGACCTTTGGCAAAACAGATTATCACTCAAATGAATTGGGGTCAGGGTAGGGTGGAGAAGCTTCAAGGACATTTCTCTTAAAAAAGTGAACTCAAAGTAAGTCCCCAATGCTAATGCCCATTTGATCGCCACAGCAATCTGCTACATATTTTACTACATATTGGAAGTTTATTTGTGGATGAGTTATTTCAGGCAATCCTATACCCGTTTGCCCCCCTTGCTTCCTCTGGGAGGGTTGTACATCCCTTGAATACTCCAGACACCGCCATCCATCAGAAATCAAACTGTCAGGTATGGTTTTGTCATTTTCCTCCTGGAAAAAGAATCATTCTGATTTGGTCTAGCTAACATGTTCCCTGGAATGAATGAATAATGAAATGCATCAATAAAAAAATTAAATAAACCATCTCCCCCCCCCCCCAAATCCACTTTTCAAGTAAGACAACAGGTCAGAAGTACCTGTGATACCTAAATTTAATTCTATATTTTGAAAAATGTCACTTCTGAACTTTGCTGTCACTATGCATCCCCAGAACAAGTCTAACACTGGCTACTGATTTGCTACCGGGCTCAATTCAAAGTGCTGGCGTTGGACTTTAAAGCCCTAAATGGTTCCGGCCCAAGCTACCTATCCGACCGCATCTCTGCCTATGAACCCACCAGGACTTTGAGATCTTCCGGGGAGGCCCTGCTCTCGATCCCGCCTACCTCACAGGTACGGCTGGCGGGGACGAGAGATAGGGCCTTCTCGGTGGTGGTCCCTCGGCTGTGGAACGCCCTTCCCATGGATATTAGACTAGCTCCATCATTAGTGGTATTCCGCAAAAAAGTGAAGACCTGGTTGTTTGAGCAGGCATTCGAATAGTCAGTGCAATAAGTGTAATGAACATAGGAATGAAACAATGGATGACGGATCTGGATCATGTTTTTAGTGATGAGACGCTAGTGAATGGCTATTGCTGTTAATTGTATATTATTGTATAATGTGTTATGATGTTAACTGTTTTTATACCGTGTCATTGTAGCATTGAATTTTTGCTGTTCTTGTTGTTAACTGCTGTGAGTCGCCTAAGGTATACAAATAAAGTAAATAAATAAATAAATAAATAAATAAATAACTTAGGGTGACCATATCCTAGAGTTTTCTTGACTCAGTATTAATTCAGATAAAGTTTACCATTGCCTTCCTCTGAGGTTGAAGGAGTGTGATCTGTTCAAGGTCACCCAGTTAGTTTCCACAGCTAAATAGGTATTTGAATCCTGGGGCCCATCTAAGCTTATTCACTTCATATTTTCCAGATGCATAGGGAGCCCTCATTGTCCCATTAGCAACACATGCAGCAATCACATAGGAGCCCCCAGTGCTGCAATGGGTTAAACCCTTGTGCTGGCAGGACTGAAGACCGACAGGTCAGAGGTTCAAATCTGGAGAGAGTGCAGATGAGCTCCTTTTGTCAGCTCCAGCTCCCCATGTGGGTACATGAGAGATTTTTGATGATAAAACATCAAAAGCATCCAGGCATTCACTGGGCAAACTTCTTGCAGACGGCCAATTCTCTCACACCAGAAGCGACTTGCAGTTTCTCAAGTCGCTCCTTACATGAAAAAAAAGGAATCACATAATGATAAATTTGTCTTCTTGGCACACTTGACTCCTGGGCAAATTTGGTTTCTGGACAAACACATTTTGATGTGAGCTTGCTTGCAAACAACTCTCCCATTCGTACAATCAAAGGCCACACAGCAGTGACTGCTGCACTTTTTTTTCTTCCTGTCATGAATGTGAAAATACGACCTTGTGTCCCATCCTGTTATTCTGTTTGAGCCTCATTTAATCAACCCAAATACCATTACACATAGTGCTATAAACTTTTAAAATGTTATGCTATCCAATGTATCTAAGCTTATTTTATATTATTTAAATTATTTTCCATTTAAAAAATATTGACCTGCAGTTTGTAAGCCTCTCTGAGCTAGTGCTGTGCAAGACAAGAAGCTGGAGAGGACAGAGATAAAGCAAGGTAGAGGGAGATGGTATCAGGAACAGTGAGGGAAAGCAAGATGGATTAGAGACCAAGAACCTCATCACACTGAGGTTCTGATGCTGGGCAACAGTGGGGGGATTTGCCAGGCAGCGTGGCGAATCCATGGGACAGTGGGGGGAACCATCACCCCGCGCCCTGCTTCACTCACTGTGCTGCTTTCCCCATCGCATGTGTTCCCCCCATTTTATCTAATGAGAACATGGGAAGCCTCCTGTGTTCTCTGGACAGTGTCCTAGGATACTTCGTAAAGTCCATGTGATGAGGTCCCAAAGTGGCACTAATGGGAGTATCCATTTTCTTCCCACCAAAAGTGGTTGGAGAAACTTAACTTCCCCTCATAAAATGGAACTGGATTTATTTCTCAGCATCACCTAAAAATGGATAATATTGTAACACCAAGATGACTCAAACTGATTTCCTGGAGCCTTCAGTTCTAATCATTGTTGTATCTCTTCTTCTGTTTCCCCAATAATAGCTCCATGGCATTCAATGCATTATTTACAAGCTCCGAGGAGCGGATTTCATCTAGACTTCCCTCAAAAACTAGATTTTTCTGCAAAGTTGTAACACTGACCCAAAGAACTGCAAAATGGCATTGAGAAACAAAGGATCTTGTCTAACTCGGCAATTCTGTTGTCAATGTCAGCCTTAAGTGTGGGATTTCACTCACTGGCTTAACTAAGAGGCAGAGGCAGGCTTGTTTCTTGCAAAACAATTAGAAGAGTGACTGTACATTTTGCCATGTAATTCTTTTCTTACAAGGACTGAAGACTTGCTTTTAAAAACTGAAAGCTTTGAATCTGGAGATGGTGATGGTCCCACTAGACACTGGTGGCATGTCTAGAAACTGGACACAACCTGGCCAAAAATAGGTATGGTAATCCTACCTTTGTTTATTATATTGTGACAATAATGTTAAAATATGCTGTGCATGGTTATGATTCAATTATGGGAAGAGAACAATGATATTAGTATTACATTCAACATTTAATATTAAGTATTACATTCAACATTCCAACCATCACCCAAGTCAAAAAAGAAGCACCATTAAAGCCTTGGCAGACCGTGCAAAAAGAATCTGCGAACCCCACCTCCTCCAAGATGAACTGAACCACCTCAACTGGGCTCTCCAGGCCAATGGATACTCCACCTCAGACATCAGAAGAGCTGCAAGACCAAGAACAAGCCACGAGAGTAAAGATGAAGATCCACCCAGAGGAAAAGTGTTCCTGCCATACATCAAGGGAACCACTGACCGCATAGGGAAGCTGATGAGGAAACATAACATACAAACAATCTACAAACCCACCAAGAAAATCCAACAAATGCTACGTTCAGCAAAGGACAAGAGGGATCCTCTCACCTCTGCAGGAGTCTACCGTATACCATGCAGCTGTGGACAAGTCTACATAGGAACCACCAAACGCAGCGCCCAGACACGCATCAAGGAACATGAAAGGCACTGCAGACTACTTCAACCAGAGAAGTCAGCCATAGCAGAGCACCTGATGAACCAGCCTGGACACAGCATATTATTTGAGAACACAGAAATTCTGGACCACACCAACAACCACCATGTCAGACTACACAGAGAAGCCATTGAAATCCACAAGCATGTGGACAATTTCAACAGAAAGGAAGAGACCATGAAAATGAACAAAATCTGGCTACCAGTATTAAAAAACTCTAAAATTATAACAGCTAAACAACAGGGAGGAAAAAACCAGGCACAGATTAACACCTCCCAGCAACAGATTTTCCCAGGCTCAGGCAGGCCTTCAAATGCTAATGAAGGTGATCAGCTAAACATTCACACCTAACTGCAGCAGGGAAGAGCTCCTTGCCCCACCCCAGCCATTCCACAGATATATAAACCCATTTTTCCTACTTCCAACAGACCTTCTCAACCTCTGAGGATGCTTGCCATAGATGCAGGCGAAACGTCAGGAGAAATGCCTCTAGAACATGGCTCTATAGCCCGAAAAAACCCACAAGAACCTAGTGATTCCAGCCATGAAAGCCTTCGACAATACATTTAAGAGGAATGTTATATATGTCTGCCTTAAAGTGGCCTGTCAACTTTCTTTTGCAAGGAACATTTAGAGGTGGTTTTGTCAAGTCCCCCTCTGATATATAGCCTACAGACCAAGCATAACATTTGGTCTCCTAGCCAAACATTATGTTGGTGCAGTATGTCTTCAAGTCATTATGACCTCTGTCATTCCCAAGGCAAACATATCAGAGGATTTTCGTGGCAGATTTTTTTTTTTCAGAGAAGAGTTACATTTGCCTTCCTCTGAGGCTGAGAGATTTGCCAAAAGTTACTCAGTAGGATTCCATGTGTGATTGGGGACTTGAACCTTGGTCCCTTTGTCCTCATCCAACATGCAAACCACTCATCAGAATGGAGCAATAACATAGCTCCTAAGACAGTTCATCTGAGAATAAGCCTCATTGAACTCATTTCTGCTTAGGAAATATTAGTGTATTTAAATATTTAAGTTCAGGGTTTGTCCAAGGAGGAATATAAGAAATTGGTCACAATGCTAGAAAATTTCCATTTAAGTGAGGACAACCCTAAAGTCCTTCCACTCAGTTCTTTTCTGTAAACAGTGGATTTGTCCTTTGACCATATGTTCAGTGACATGCAGCTGTTTCATACAAACATGCATTTCTTGGCATTTAAGCCTGATTGCTTCCAATGTATTTGTTTTATAATAATGAATTTTAAATAGTAACACAACTCAGACTATTTACCCATCCAGTCTGGTATAGTCTACTCTATCTGGCAACATTCTCATTACCTGGGACCTTGATACTAAAAAGGTAAACTTGAATAGGTTATTTTTATTGCAGCTCCCAAAATCCTCATGTCTGCATGTCCACAGGGTTAAAGTCAAAAATGTGTTTGTTGTTTTACTGATCTGTCATCTCTCAGTTTGCTTTTTAAATTATGCAGTTATGTTTTTGGGGGGAAATGGCTTTAATTCAATAACAATATGAATTTTCCCTCTAATTATTACCAGTTCAATTCATAACATGATTATTGAATGATGGGAGACTACAATAACAAATGGCAATTATGGATAAATCTACAAAATGAATTTGGGGTGCTCAAATCCCATGGGGACTCTCCCATTTAATTAATAATTTAATCAGTAAAAGGATGTGGGCATTTCCCCCCTCTTGACCTTCATCAAATTAGAACCTTATATCCTTGATTTGTTTCTCATTTCATTGACTTTCTCATTTTCTTTTCCATGTTACAATGCTTTCTCTAAAAATAAAGGAAGTAGAACTGTGTTGTGTTTGTGCTGTTTAGCTTTACCTGGAAAAGACAGTTTGTACACGTCAAACCAATCCATACAATGTGATGTGACATCGATCGCTTTGGGCACTAGCTCTAGATTAGCGCTACTACACAATGTCATTGTGTATGATGGGTTGCGTTGTGGTGTGATACAGAGAAGCCTATACAATCCAAGCCCTCACACACCCAAACAGACATCACATGCTGTAATTATATTTGTCCGTCAGGCCATGATAATTATAGATGGCAGGTAGGCTGTACCAAGCAATGCTGTATTGTTGTTATTGTTGTTTCCCTGTTGTGGCATGTTTTTTCCACTTGCTCCAACTAAAAACAAAACAGGAATAGAAAAGGTCAACTGTTTACCCCTCCTGTAGTACAATTTCAAAACATGAGACATAATTTGAATAAGATTTTTCATTCCTCACTCTTGAGATAGAAGGAATTCAGGCTTCTCTGTATATTCCATTGACATTTTTCTATGCACATAGAGCTATTAAACTTAGGGCAAAAATGAGCTCTCCATTTAGTTCAAACGTAACCATACAGAAGCAGAAGTTTATGCATGACATAATCAGTTGCAAGGTCATTGTGCATTTAACAAAGCATAAGTTCTGGATCTTAAAGGTTCTGAATCGATGCCTATTTTTAGAAATAAAATGTAAACCAACCCTTTCTTTGCCAATTCCATTTTTAAGGGGGAAAGCATTCCATTTTATTACATTGCCAGTTGAATCACAGCTTGCTATCCAGAACAGAGAAGACTAAAATGGTTTTCCTAACATTAGGACTGTGTTTCCAACAAAATAGGATATAATTTCTGGAGATATATATGTGTTTACTTGGATTAAATATTTTGCCTTAAAAAAAAACAATATTTTATTACATTATTTATTTTTATTTATCGTGTCATCAGCAACCAGACATTTGGATTACATTTTTAACAAAAACAACAAACAGACAAAACACAGAATTTGCAAGCCTGGTAGTTGATCAAATGTCCTTTGACCAGTAGCCGGCCACCTGGAGCGCCTCCGGTGTTGCCACAAGGAGGTCCTCCATTGTGCATTTAGCAGGGCTCAGGCTGCATTGCAGCAGGTGGTCTGCAGCCTGCTCTTCCCCACACTCGCATGTCGTGGATTCCACTTCGTAGCCCCATTTCTTAAAATTGGCTCTGCATCTCGTGGTGCCAGAGCGCAGTCTGTTCAGCGCCTTCCAAGTCGCCCAGTTTTCTGTGTGCCCAGGGGGGGAGTCTCTCATTTGGTATCAGCCATTGATTGAGGTTCTGGGTTTGAGCCTGCCAGTTTTGGACTCTCGCTTGCTGGGATGTTCCAGCGAGTGTCTCTGTAGATCTTAGAAAACTATTTCTTGATTTAAGTCGTTGATGTGCTGGCTGATACCCAAACAAGGGATGGGCTGGAGATGTCACTGCCTTGGTCCTTTCACTATTGGCTGCTACTTCCCGGCGGATGTCAGGTGGTGCGATACCGGCTAGACAGTGTAATTTCTCCAGTGGTGTAGGGTGCAGACACCCCGTGATAATGCGGCATGTCTCATTAAGAGCCACATCCACTGTTTTAGCGTGCATGCATGCTCAGCAGCAGAGTAGCATAGCGCAAGGGCAGATGTCTTCACTGTGTCTGGTTGTGATCCCCAGGTTGTGCCAGTCAGCTTTCGTATGATATTGTTTCTAGCACCCACTTTTTGCTTGATGTTCAGGCAGTGCTTCTTGTAGGTCAGAGCACGGTCCAGAGTGACTCCCAGGTATTTGGGTGCGCTGCAATGCTCCAGTGGAATTCCTTCCCAGGTGATCCTCAGAGCTCGGGATGCTTGTCTGTTCTTAAGATGAAAGGCACATGTCTGTGTTTTAGATGGATTAGGGATCAGCTGGTTTTCCCTGTAATAGGCAGTAAGAGCACCTAGAGCTTTGGAGAGCTTCTGTTCAACCATCTCAAAGCTCCCTGCTTGATCAGTAGTGGCACGATCATCAGCATAGATGAAGCTCTCTGTCCCTTCTGGCAGTGGCTGGTCATTTGTGTAGATGTTGAACATGGATGGGGCAAGCACGCTTCCCTGAGGCAGGCCGTTCTTCTGTTTCCGCCATCTGCTTCTCTGGCCCTGGAACTCAACAAAGAAGCTCCTGTTTTGCAGCAGGTTTCCTATGAGGCAGGTGAGACGGTAGGCCTTTGTATTATATTGTACATTTTTCTCAGGAGGAGGCGGTGGTTTATGTTCTATAAAGGTTAGTATTTAAAATTCAGCTTTATTTCCTGAACTCAGTCTGGATCTAGACTGCCCCGTACGCTTTGGGTCCAACCTATCTTCAAGACTGCATCTCCTTCTGTGAACCGGCACGGGCACTAAGATCTACCAGGGAGACCCTCCTCTCAATCCCACCTCCGTCTCAAGTGCGGTTGGTGGGAACGAAACAGAGGGCCTTCTTGGTGGTGGCCCCCTGACTTTGGAATGCCCTTCCAAGAGAAATTAGGCTATCCTCCACTCTCCAAGCCTTCTATATACAATTGAAGACGTGGCTATTTCGACAAGCCTGTGACCATGTTTAGAATCCCTTAATGAACATAGTTGAAGAACTAGAGACTATTTCACCATGAGACTTTATGAGACTGATATTGATTGCAATTGTTTTATCCCTGCAGCTATTGTTGCATTTACTGCTCATAACGAGGGGGGTTGTGATGTTTATGTTGGTTGTTATTGCTTTTGTGGTATTGTCTTTACACTTTTTGTATTTTGCTTGTTTGCACCTTGAGTGCTTTGTGAACCGCCCTGATTCCATCTGGGAGATGGTGATGGGGTATAAATAAAGTATTATTGTTATTATTATTATTATTATTATTATTATTATTATGTAATCCAGATTATAAAATCAGAAAATTCAGATTATTTTACTTGAACTGGGTTATATACTGGCATATAGTATGCTGATTGAAAGGCTGCAGGTTCCAATCCAGGGATTGGCATGAGTTCCCGCTGTTAGCCCCAGCTTCTGCCAATCAAGCAGTTAAAAAACATGCAAATGTGAGTAGATCAATAGGTACCACTCTGGCGATAAGGTAACAGCTCTCCATGAAGTCATGCCAGCCACATTACCTTGGAGGTGTCTATGGACAACGCTGGCTTTTCGGCTTAGAAATGGAGATGAGAACCAATGCCCAGAATCAGACACAATTGGACTTAATGTCAGGGGAAAACCTTTACCTATACTGGCATATAATCCAGTTCAAAACAGATAATCTGGATTTTAAATGGCAGTGTAGATGGGGCCTCAGAGGGCTAATCCTGCACCGGTAGACTTCCTCTCCTTTCACAGTAATCTCCAGCCATTGAAGCAGATTTTAATTGTAAAAGTTACATTTATGTGGAATTGAGGATGTAATGAAGTTACTTTTCAAAAACAAAAATGTCAGAAGTAGGAATTGTTTTATGTTATCTATTTGATAGATAAGTTGGTAAAATGTGACCACAACGCTGTTCTTGTGGTTCCCAGCTTCTGCAAACTCTCTAAGTAACCATTTTCTGACCCAAAAAAGGAGATAAGTTATGTCAACTAGAAGCCTCCAGGACTAGCCATTGAGCTTTTAAATAGGTTGCAAGCCCACTGGCACTATTTATAGTATTTAACATTTTCTAGTCACTTCTAGCTTAGGTTAGTTTTCTTTCCTTTTTTGGCAAATTTGGTAGTCTATGCAACTCCTGAATCCCTGAAGCAAGTGGTATTCATCAATGAGGAATGGCTTCTACTTACTTTTTTAAAAGATACTACATCTGAAGTATTTTAGAGGCAAGATTTTGTCACCATTGATGCCACACTTTTTTAAAGTAGCAGTGTGATGAGTAATAGGTTCAGCATTTGAATAACATTTTCAAGACCCAAACAGTATTATTAGACTTTATTCTTTAAAGAAAAATTAAAACAACAAGCAGTCCTGTTAACCTTGCTAATTACATCATGTATCAACTAAATAATTACGTTTGCATCATTGATCTTTTTAGACAGTGCCATGTTCAAAGCAAATGCTGCCGAGTTTCGAATTTTCCGTCCTCACCATCACACATGAAGATCTTCCCTGCCTGTGAAAAAGAAGTGACACTCTGATGACAGCTCACTTAACCTCCAGCCCACTGCAACTTTGTGAAAGCAGTTGTGAATTTAAAAAAGAATACGTCCTCACACTAAGGAGAAACAGCTATGAAAGTAAAGCCAACACCATTTGCCCATATATAGGATGCTCTCCTTCAAGCCAGACAGATTGGCACACGCTCATTTTGTCCTGCCATGTGATAGTATGTGAAGTAGTCACCATCCGGAATAAGGATAGCATTCTTCTCACACATACGTATATATATATGCACACACGCACACCCTAGTATGAGCATTTGTCCTCAGAAACATGAACATCATCAAGGGTGGTATTTGGTTTGATTTATGTCTCACCCATCTTCTTTTATAGTGCTGCCATTGATGCTTATATAAAGTGATTAATAGGAATCTAGATAATGTCTGCTCTGTGTTTCACTTCTCTGACCCTTTGTTTGGTCTATGTACTCAATCCTTTTTTTTTTCTTACCCACAAACAGGTACTGGAACAAAAGAAGAAGAAATATTTACAGGAGGCATAGGTTCTATTTACCTTAATGTGGAAGAATACTATTTAACATGGCCTTCTTCCCTGAATCTGGATCTTGCCTGCCTTTTAGGCCAGTGTGAACAGTTGGGCCACTTCCTATTCAGAAGTGGCTGTAGCTATTCACACCGCCATCCCACTTTGCCAGGTTCAGGCAGCCCAGAGACAAGTGAGAGCACTTAGTTGCTGTGCATTTTTGGGCTGTATGGACATGGTCCAGTAGCATTCTCTCCTGACATTTCACCTACATCTGTGGCTGGCATCTTCAGAGGACTGTTGGAGGAGATGAAAGTGGAGTGTATACTGTATATACCCGTGGAATGTTCAGGGTAGGGGAAAGAACCCTTGTCTCTGTAAAGCAAGTGTGAATGTTGCAATTAGCAAGCTTGACTATCAGTGAATAAACATGGAGCTGAAAAGTCCATCATTGAGGGTATCTGCATTGAGGGTATCTTACCTTCTCCCATCGTTCTGGGCTTTGCGGCACCCATGAGGCATAAAATGGTAGTGGTCACCGATCAGCACCTGCAGTGATGATAGCCAAAGTAATGAGGTGATTGGAGAAAGGAGGTGGAATAAGGATAATGTGATTCCTTGTTTTCCCCTACCCTCTCTTGCATCACTTCATCACTCCAACTATCATCACTACAGGTGTGAAGTGGTGACTACCAGCATTTTTGTGCCTGATGATCACCACAAAGTTCAGAATGATGGGGGCAAGGAAAGTGTGGTGGTTTAACTGGTGAGCCAGTTCCGATGTCACTGGGCCAGGAGGACACATCAGTTTCCCCTGCCAGCTTAGGAAAATGTATTGTAGACACCCACAAACCCCTGAGTCAGCTTTACAGTTGGCTTTGATTTTTCATCATACACTTTATGAGGCTGATATGGTTGAAGTGTGTTTTGTATTCTGGAACTATTGTTGCATTTTATTCCTCTTAATCAGGGGGAGTTGTGATGATTATGTTGGTTGTTGTTGCTTTGTGTTGATGTCTTTGCACTTTTTGTATATTGCGTGTTTGCACCTTGAGTTCTTTGTGTGCTGCCCCGAGTACCTCCGGGAGATGGTGACCGCGGTATAAATTATTATTATTATCATTATCATTATCCTTTAGACCATGATCTGTAATACCCCACATCGAATCACTGTCAAATTATTGTAGCACATTTAGACAGTCCCCAGATCAGATGTGCTGGGAAATGGGAGTCAAAGAGTTTTATATAACATTCTTCAGATATAATGTTAAAGATTCATATAGAAACCCTTGAAATGCCTTTATGTACATCACTACAATACTGTTGACATTTGACCTGTGTTTTCTGGAAATGTCCATTCCATGAAATCTTATTTGTCTCTTGTAGGTTTCATTATTATTTACATGCAAACACTCCTTTGCATAATTGATGGGGTCCATGTCAGTAGGACATTAAATTTGCTATGATTGTTAGTTTCAACTTTGAAATAACTATCCAATTATTTATTCATTTATTTATTTTAACACAAACCATCTAATTTATTATAAAAGTGCATTTAGGAAAAGAGGTAAAAAAGGATAAAAAGAAATGAAAAGAAAGAAAGGCAAGGAAAATGTAACTAAGACTAAACTAAAACTAAAACACAAGTTTGAAGAGAGTTCTTGCTGATAATAAGAGAGTTCTTACTATCTAATTCTTTATCCATAATTTCCAGCAAAATCTTTTCTGGTTTTATCAGTATAATGAGGACCCCAAATATATTCTCCATACCTTCAAAAACAACCTCAGTTAAGGATAGCATGTCTCTTCTGAATGAATGTCTGAAGTAGGTAATGGACTGGATGAGGAAAAACAAATTGAAACTGCATCCATACAAATCAGAGGTGCTTGCCATCAAGGGTCTTAATCTGGGTATGGAGGTGTGTCAACCAGTTCTGGACGGTATTACACTCCCTCTGAAATACTGTGTTTGTAGGTTGGCGTATGCATTGTTGACCTCAAGGTTGGACTTCTGCAATGCTCTTTATATTGGGCTACCTTTGTACCAAGTTCAGAAATCCAGCTGGTTCAAAATACAGCAGATTAGTTATGGGACCATCTAGGAGTGAGCATATTACACCCATACAGAAGTCACTCCACTGGTTGTCAATTAGTTTCCAGGCAAAGTACAAAGTGTTAATTTTGACTTTTAAAACATCACGTGGTTTGGGTCCAGGTTACCTACAGGATCGCCTTCTCCCATACAATTTGCCCCTTTGGACAATGACATCCTTGGGGGGGGGGGGCTACTCCAGCCAACCAGAACCCGACTGGCGGCCACCAGAGGACCTTCCCATCAACCACCCCAAGACTGTGGAATAACTTTCCAGAAGAGCTTCAACAGCTAGATCAGTTGTCGTAATTTAAGACACAATTGAAGACCCATCTCTTCCGGCAGGCCTACCCTGCCAGTTTTAATCATGAATTTTAAACTCGCATCTTGTGTACACTATATTTTAATCATTGTTCTGTGTATTTAACATATGTGTATTTTATACAGTGATTATGTATTTTTAGCTATATTGTAATCCGCCATGAGTAGAGGTTGGTAAGAAATAAAATTGTTGTTATTCAATGATTTTAACAGCTTATTTAAGGTTCAATATTGTCTATATATCATCTTAAAAGTTTTCTTTTAAATAATTGCACAAAGTACATTTCATATTTTTGATCCACATTTCCCCATATATCTGTTTGAACATTCTTCCCAAAACTTTCAGCCTATGTTCTCATGCACTGTTTTGTAAGATATTTGTACACTTTTCTAACTATATAGTCATTGTCTTTATACAACTCTAAATGCTTCTCCACCTTCCATGGCTAACTATCCTAAATTCTGAATCTATCCCCAAAAATGTTTCACCTTGAATGGTACTTTTGCACCCCAGATGATATTTACTAGGGCTGGGCGGTTTCGTTTCGTTAATTCGTAATTTGTTAATAATTCGTTAATTTTTTTAATTACAAAACGATAACAAACCATTCTGGAGCAATTTTTTTAAAAAACGAATTTTTAAATAGTTTTGTAAATGCTTCGTATTTCGTTATTGTATTCGTTTCGTTATTGTTTTGAGGTCGTTTCGTTATTATTTCCACATGTCTGGGGCAAGTTTTATGGTTGTTTTTTGTTTAATTAGTGAAAAAAAATTATAATATCACACCAACAGTCAACAACAGAGGGAGAGGGAAGCTTCAGAAGTTTTTGGAGGTTTTTTAGCATATTTCGCGGTCGCGTCCGCCATTAACGAATCGATTCGTTATTGTTTCAGAAATCGATTCGTTAATGTTTTGTAATTTTTTTCAAATTTACGAAATTTCGTAAATATCGTTTTTAAAAGGAAAATTTTGTAATTATTTTAAATAACGAAACGCAAAAAACCCCAAAAAACGAATCGATTTTAGAAACAAATTTTTCCGTTGTTACCCAGGCCTAATATTTACTATCTTACTGATATGAGAGGCATCAGGTGACACTACTTTATGAGAAAAGACCTCACAACTCAGAGGATGCAAGAATGAGGATTGGGAAGGTACTTTTGTGACCACTTCTGATTCATGTAATTGGAGTTTAAGAACAAGACAGTACAACTTAACTGGACAAAAGTTTTATATTGATGCCTAATACTCATGTTCTGTCCTATGCACGAACAAAATTTAGCCATATACCTCCTGACGTCCACCTGTCAGTCAAAGCAAGACTCACAAATGCATGTTGTTACAGTTAGAACTGTTATTTACCAAAATCAGCATCTGAAGATGGCAACAAGCTCTACCAATGCTGACCTAGCAGAAAACTCCAGCTATCCAAGTCAGGAAAGGTTTTAGCCGTGCAAACACCATCGTGTGCAATGTTGTTTAGAAACCTCCCTTCTCATTTCAGTGTGGAATAATTGCTGGATCCCCTGACCCACTTCCTCACAAGAAACAAAAACAAAGCATAAGATGTTTTAAAAGGAATTTTTAACAGAGGTGGAAAAAAGAAAATGCTATAAAAATCCATCAGTGAAATGAACAGCAGCCACGCTGTGTGCATCAGCCAGAGGGCATAAAGTAGCCAGCCAGAAAAGTTTATGACCCCTTTCATGCAGGGATGAGCTCTCTATCACAGTTCCCAGGGCCAGTGTCAGGGGTGAGCATCATAGCCCCCCTGCTGAAACCCATACCTCTGTAGGGAGGGCAAGACTATTTATCCACAACCCCGTGTTACTCTCACTCCCCTGTGATTGGTCATTTGCCCTACCATTGACACAAAAACTCCCAGACTATCTAGTCATTTGGCCGTGCTGGCTGGAGGATTCTGAGATTTGTATTCCTGCACAGTAATTTGAGGTATACCTGGCTCTGTTCATACAAGAAAGGATACAGAATGAGCATATAAGGAAAAGGTTGTGAATAGACCACAGTGACACATGGTGATCGGCCCACTTAGAGCCATCTTGGTCTAGAAAAGGGCAGGGAAATTCAGACTCTGGCCATCCTTGACTTCCAATCTGGTTCACTGGTTATCTCGATCAGAGCTTCTTAAACTTTTTCCACCTTGTGACCCTTTTTGGCCTGAGAAATATTTATGTGACCTAGGATATATAGATACATAAAATAAGTATAAAATCAAACATTTACAGATAATAAAGCAGCATTTGCAGGGCTTACTAAACAGATTGATTTTCTTTTTTGTGAAGTACAACTGAAGCATTTTCTGCAGAGTCCACTGTAAAAAATGCACATTGTTGCTAACAGATTTATGTAAATGTCTAGTTTGCATTTAGAAATCTTTTACTGTTGCCTTTTTTGAGACCTAGCATTGAGCAAAGGGACCCCTTTTGAGGCTGGGACCCACAGTTTAAGAAGGACAGATCTAGATGGCCACAGATCCTTTTCCATAGTACCATCTGTTTGTCTTTAGAGGCTTGAAGTCATTAAAATGTATAATGTAGACTCATTAAATGCTTACAGGATGTAGGCTTTGTTATTCTATGCTTTCTTCCCTGTGGGAAGTCACAAACTAATGGCTCTAGCCTTCCTAAACTGCAACAAAAAAAATCTGGGTTACACAATTTACACAGACCAGGGTCTTCTAACAAACCTGACATTGGTTAAGGAATGTATGTGCCATAAACATCACACTGTCATTTAGTAGTTTCCCAAGTTTGTATAACACATGCAAACACATTCAGAAATGTTGAAATGCATCTCTTAAAAATTAGTGAGAAATAGCTTTAAAGAAAGAGATGCTAAAGATTAATTTGCATTTGTTGACATTTTATTACCCTGACATTTCATCTTTGCCTACTCCACCTGTAAAATCAGCCCCAGAAAACATATCTAAAATTGAATTCAGCCCTAAAGCAGGGATGAGAATTATTCAGCCTATGAAGTTTGTCCAAGGTTTTCATGCTGGTAAATCTGCCTTGTATAGCAAAAACACGATTTGTTCAGCTATATGAGCCAACAGTAAGCAAGAAATTATAACTCATAA